CTCACAATACTAATAATAAGCACCAGGGCTGGGCTTGAGTCCAAGGCTGGGAGAAGGTGGATTGAATTGGTAATGGTGGTATGACTGGAAGGCACAGTGATGGCAATGGAGGTGGGGCATACTGAAGGGATGAACTCGGTAGAACTTAACCCCAATTTCAAAGGACGAGGGAGAGAAGGAGGGGGAAAAGACAGGGATGGCACCTGGAAGCCTGAGTAGGGGAGAAAGGGAGGGCTGGGTTCCCTTTTTCAGCCATACTGCACTCCCCAAGTCAACCCAAGCCCTGACTCAGAGTATGGAAGAAGTTGGGTTGAGCATACCAGAAACCAGGTCACAGAAACTGAAGATATCCCACTGGGCCTGCCGATACATATCGTATCGTATCGTATCGTATCGTATCGTATCGTATCGTATCGTATCGTATCGTATCGTATCGTATCCTATCCTATCCTATCCTATCCTATCCTATCCTATCCTATCATTCAACATGATATGTCAGGTGAAATGGGAAAAGAAAGCTCTGACTCTGAGTTTTGGACTCAAAGGTGAGCCATGTCCCTACTGCACGCACACAGAGGCCCAGCTGGGAGCACACAGGAACATCCCATCCTACCAGGGCCCTTGTGGAGAGATCATGAGGAAGTGTGTTTTTGTGGCAGAAACTACTCTGAGTTCACTAAGTCTGTTTGCCTTTCCTCCTGAGCTCATAGCTACTACCTTCATTTCCAGCTCTTGCCCCTCCCCATGTCCACTGAGTTCTGGTCTGTGGATCGTGGGAAGAGGGAAGTGGCCACTCCGGTCTGGCTAATGACTGCTTCCCATGTGATTCTTTGCTTTTCCTTCCATCTGCCAGTAGGATGTCATTGCCTAGGGTAACGTGGAAGCCACAGCCTGGGCTCCTGGATGGCAGGGTCCCTTCCCCCAGTCAGGATCACCTGCTCTGGACAGTCAACCAAGATTTTATTATGCTAAGACGCTGCAGTGTGGGAGTCTGCACGTTAGCTTACCTAATAAGCATGGAGAAGCTTTCTGAGAACCACAAGATGTTGTAGGATTGTAAAGTACTTTGTCCTGTTTTTATTTTAAAATCCAAGATTTTCTAGCCTGGGAAAGGCCATTTAGAAGGGCCAGCGGGGCCAAGCAGATGCCAGTCTGGGGTGTGCCAGGACCAAGGAAGGTCCCCTTCACAGCAGGGCCCAGCTCCCCCCTGATGTGATGCACGCTGTCTGCACGGAATCAACCATCTCTCTCTCTTAGCACATCTGAGCCCCTGAGCCTGGGGACCACTCAGAACAAGCCCCTCCCTCATTGTGCAGATGAGGTCACAGTGAGAAAGAGACATGCCCAAGGTCACCTCCCCTTCCCCTGGTGCTGTGTGCACACCGGCAACACTCATCGTCCACATGGTGGACAAATTACTGTGGTTATTGGTATAGTGATGGCTCCAGATCAGGAGGCCTCTGTTCCCACACCATTGTGTCATCCTTGCTCACAGTGGCTCTGGGCCTGACCATATGATCCATTTTGGTCAATGGAACATCAGCAAATGTGATGGAGGAAAGGCTTGCACAGCATCTGTCCATGGGGGCTTGCTCTCTCTTGCTGCTGGGACCACCTCCTGTCCCCCTCCCCCCCACTCCTGCTATTAGGAAGTCTGGGCTACTGGAAGACGAGACCACAGGTAGCAAAGACAAGTCTTCCTGCTGCGTTCCTCTGGACCAGGGGTCTTCAGCCAGAGGGCAATTTTGTCCCCCCAGAGAACATTTGCCAACATGTGGAGATATTTTTAGTTGTCCGAATTGTATGTGTGGAGGGTGCTACTGGAATCTAGTGGGTAGAGGCCAAGGATGCTGTTAAACATCTTAAAATGTACAGGACAGTGCCCACAACAAAGAATTATCTGGTCCCAAATGTCAATAGTGCCACGGTTAAGAAAGCCGGCTGTCAAGCGGCCAGCCCTCAGCTGATGTCCCGGCTGTCTGCAGCCCTGTTAGCGAGACCAACATAAGAACGGCCCGCTGATCGCAGCCTAAATCACCAACCCATAGAACTGTGAGCAAAAAGGCAGTGGTTGGTTTAAGTCATTAAGTTTCTGGGTGTATTTTTAGGCAGTGGCAAAGGTTGATAGAGGACACTCGGTTAATGGCGGTGCCTTGCTGTGGATTTGGACATGGAACACAGAGGTGGCTGGATCCTCATGCATGGATCCTGTGGATATTTGCCCAGTTTGGTGCTGTTTATTACACACACACACACACACACACACACACACACACACACACCTCTGTCGTGGGCCAGTTGCTGTACTAAGTATTCTGTACGTATTATTTTAGTTAATTTTTATAAAAACTCCATGAGATATTGCCTCCAGTTTACAAAAGAACAACTGAGGCTCAGAGTGATTAGCTTGCCCAGGGTCATGGTTACTAAGTAGGGCCACATTTTGGACACCTGGCCCCGAGTCCATGTGCTTGACTACCACTCCATGCTGTCTCCTGACAGTGGTTCTGTTTTTCCACCTCACCATGTACTCAGTCCTCCTGTGGCCCAGCTGCCCCCTCCCCTGCCCCTAGACTGCTGCCCACTGGGATGATTGGCCACAGCTGCTCCCAGGCAGCCAAGGGTGTGTCTCTTGTGACACACTATGCCTAGGACTCTCCAAGAGGGTGAGTGGGAGCCACAGTTCCTGGGATAAGAATGCGATCTCCAAACCCAGCTCCAATATTTACTTGCTGTGGGATGTTGAGTGCTTTCCTTAACTTACTCTCAGTCTAGGTTTCCTTATTGGTAAAATGGGGCCACATCATCAGTACCCAACAATCAGTGACGCATGGGACACAGGCCTAGACACTGATGGTGCCAAGTAAGCCAGCCAGGCGCATGGCATGGGGTCCCTGGCCACAGGGAAGCCTCGGTATGATGGAGAAGGGAAACAACACAGTGAGAAGGGGAATGCACCCCTGACCGTGAGCACATTTGAAAAGCGTCTGTCTGGTGGAGGAAATGCTCAGTAGATATTAGCGGAACCTCAGTTCAGGCTGAAAGTGGTGGGTTTCTGAGTCCATGACTGTGACCTTGGTCTCCCACTGGGAAGACTTCCAAGAAATAAAAAAGGAACTTTTCTTCAGGAAAAGAATGTGCATTCCTGGAATTTCAGCGTTTCCTCCACACTCCCTGACTGCAGTTACATCTCCTGCCTTGTACAGTGTGGTAGTTACCAGCCCGGTCCCCAGAACTGCATGCTTGGGTTCAAGTTCCAGCTGGCACCTTGGGCAGGTGCTTAAGTTCCCCAGGTCACAGTTTCTCATCTGTCCGGTGGGGATAACTGACCTGATCTCATGAGGTCCTTATAAGGATTAAGAGTGAAGAGCAGCACATTGCATGAGTGAATGTTGTTGAAGTACTGACTGGTTTGGGGTTGTTTTGTTTTTCTTTTCTTTCTTTTTTTTTTTTTTAATCATTCTTTCTTGCCAACCCTCCTGTGCTCGTTCCTCCAAAATGGATTCTCTGAATTCTAGAAATCCTGGTGGGCAGAGTATTGACATGCTCCCTGCTGTTACTGAATCTCTCAGGCTGAAGGTCATCTGTTTTAGGGGCCATGGAACTTTCTCCCATGGCACTCACTCCGCTTTCAGGGACTTATCACCTTGTTCTTTATGATTGTTATTAATTAAAAGAACAAAGAGAATGGATGATTGTTGTACAAAAATTGAAATATACAGATAAGCAGGAAGAAATGAAAAGCACTTCAAATCCCACCATTTAGAGAGAATGTGGTTAACATTCTAGGGTCTCTCTCTCCAGACTTTTCCCCACTCAATAAATTTGTTTAAATACGTGTATACAGTGAGGCTAGGGGGTCAGCATACCCAGCCTCAGGCCCCCCTTTGAGGTCCCCATAGTGGGGTAGGGCACCAGGGCCCTGTTGGTGGCTTTAGCTCAGGACTCAGGCATGTCAGGGGCAGGACCTGTCTGCCTGATGCCAGCATGCCCCCCGCCCCCCAGATGAGCTTGAGCTGTCTGCTCTGTCTGTGCAGAATGCCTCATCGTCCATGGAGACAGAGTTCTGTGTGGGACAGTTATGTCAGAAGGAAGACCCACAGCCAGCAGGCCCCTGGGAACGAATTGGCTGTTAGGTGAAAAGCTGCTCCTTGGGCACCCTCAGCTCCTCCTAACCCTCTCCGAAAGCTGACCACGCCCTCGCTAATAATCCAGATACTGAGTGGATGGGGTAGGGTCCTGAAAAGGTCTGCAGCTTAACAAATAGCTGGACAGCTTACGGGCAGATGTGAGGTGACACTTCTCCAGGCTTCCTATAGACTCAAACCTCGGGAGTAGAGTTTGCTTTCACTCTCTGCCATGGAATTTCTCAGAAATCTTAAAAACTATAATGGCCATGGGGTGCCTGGGTGGCCTAGTTGGTTTTGGCTCAGGTCATGAGCTCAAAGTTTGTGGGTTTAAGCCATGCGTCGGGCTCTGTGCTGCCAGCATGGAGCCTGCTCGGGATTCTCTCTTTCCCCCCTCTCTGCCCTCTCCTGCTCATTCTTTCAGTCTCTCTCTCTCAAAATAAATAAACTACAAAAAAAAAAAAAACTATAACGGCTATCATTTGTTGAGCATATATTCTGTGCTGGGCCCTTCACAGAAATTATGTTGAATCCTCACCTCAGTTTTGCAAGGTAGATAAATTAAAAAAAAATTTTTTTAATGTTTACTTTTGAGCGACAGACAGAGACAGAGTATGAGCAGGGGAGAGGTAGAGAAGCAAGGTAGATAAGAAACATGAGGCTGAGGAAGGCCAGTGGCCAGTGGCCACACACTGCTGCCCATAAGAGTGTAGAGAGAGATTTAAACTCTGTCATTGAACTCTCAAGCCCATGCTCTTGATTTCCATATAAATTTTAATGTTTGGGGGCATCTGGGTGGCTCAGTTGGTTGAGTGTCTAATTCTTAATTTCAGCTCAGGTCACGATCCATGCACTCTCTTTTTCTCTCCCTCTGCCCCTCTTCCCTCTTCGCATTCTATCAAAAAAGAAAAAAACAACAACTATAATGTTTATTTTATTCAAGTGACCTATACCCATAGTTAAAAACCAAACAGGGCTACAGAGGTGTCTGGTTGGCTCAGTCAGTTAAGCAGCTTGATTTCGGCTCAACTCATGATCTCACAGTTTGTGAGCTATCAGGCTCTGTGCTGACAGCATGGAGCCTGCTTGGGGGTCTCTCTCTCCCTCTCTCTCTGCCCCTTCTCCCCCCATAAATAAATAAATAGATAAATAAATAGACAAACAAATAAATCTCAAACAGGGCTAAAAGACACAGCAGAAACCAGCCCCAATCTTCTCTTCTCCCCTGAAGCAGCCACTTCCAACTCAGCAGCAGCTTTTCTTCTGCTCTTACTACCAGGTTTCAAAATATTCACCTAAATTCTATTTCTTACATATTATTATTATTATTTTAAAGTAGGCTCCATACCCAATGTAGGGCTTGAACTCATTTCTCTGAGATTAAGACCGACTAAGCCAGCCAGGCGCTTCTCATACATTATTACAGAGAACAAGTAATCCCCCACCTCTTTGCCATTTCTTAGTTTCTTCTATTTAAAGCAGCTTCCTCAGAGGCCTGGAGATCCTTTTCTGCCACTCACCTAGATAACGAGTCGGCCCTTCCCTTCTCTCTGTGGCCCTGGGGGGCCCCTCCTCTCCAGGCTGGCTCCTTGCACTCGGCCTCGAGAACCCCTCTGATTTTCCTTTGCTGAAGCCCCTGTTCTTGTGTGCCGTGGATTCTTCTCCCATGATGAGAACTGCTTCTGAGTCCTGCATGTCTGAAAAGGTTTTTCTTTATTTCCCCTTCACGTTTGACTGATTTGGCTGAGCATAAGATTCTGGGTTGAAAATCATTTTCCTTCCGAATTTGGGAGGCATCCCTCCATTATTTTCTATCCAGTGTTTCTGAAGAGAAGTCTGATGCCCTTCTCATCCCCCATTCCTTTGTCTCTTAAGTGTTCTCTTTCTGGGGCTTCCCAGACATTCCCTTTATTCTCCATGTTCTAAAGTTTGACACTGAGGGACTCTAGTGTGGACAGTTCTTTGTGCATCGTGCTGGGCACTTTCTCCTGAGTTTTTAACCTTATTATATTTTAAATTTCCAAGAGCTCTTGCCTCTCTGTTCCTTTTTCATGGACTTCTATTTTTGTCTATTCCCCAAGGTTACTAATTTATAAGTTCTTAAAAAAATTTTTTTCAGGTTCTTCTGCTTGCTGTATGCAATTTCCTCTGAGTTCACCCCTTTTCCTCTTGTTTTGAGCTCTTTCATTTTAAATGTCTGGTGAGCCTTCATATTTAAGAGAAAGACAGGGTTACAGTTCAGCTGACTTCATAGTAGGGTGACCAGATGGCTGGAAGGCTGTTTTACTGGGACTGCTTGTACAACACTTTATGAAGGTCTTTTCCTAGGGGTGGGGGTGGGGGACCTGGGTGAGGAAGAAACTCAATCTACCCAGAGAAGAATATTCCAGCTGCCTGCTTGGAAGGGAAGTGACACTTAGCTGCTGGGGTTCTGGGAGCAGTCAGGGGAATCTGAGGGCCCATCATTTATTTATGGTTTTTAATTAATCTCCCAGTTTCCAAGCTCCTACCTGTTACCCTCTGTGGGGACTAGTGTCCTGGAGTCCCAAGCACCTTAAGCACAGCTTCTCCAGATAACAATTTCTGGTCTCTCCCGGGGAGAAAAGAGAGTCGGCTGTGGCTTCCTGTGTCCTAGCTCCACGCCTTGCTCCTGTCTTCTGTGGTACCCAGTACCTTTAAAAGCACCCAGACCTGAGAGGTTCTCTGGGGCTCCTCGGTCCACGTGTCAGTCATGTGCCCCTCCTGCTTCCGTGTGGATTGTCACTTTCTCAGCTCTACTCCATCAGAGACGGTTCCTCTACCCACCTGCCCATCTAGCAAATGTTTGTAGGTATTCCCTCCCGGGGGGGCTTCTCATCTGGCTAAATGCCTTTGAAATGCTGCTGCTAGTGGTTGTTTGGGGGGAAAGTGTGAGTGGAGTAGGATTTAGGAGGCTGTATCAGTGATCCATTGTTGAATAACAAATCACCCCCAAACCCAAAACTTAGTGGCTTAAAGTGACAATAGTTTTGGGGCACCTGGGTGGCTCAGTCAGTTAAGCATCCGATTCTTGATTTCGGGTCAGGTCATGATCTCACAGTTCATGAGTTTGGGCCCCATGTCAGGCTCTGTGCTGTCAGCTCAGAGCCTCGAGCCTGCTTTGGATTCTGTGTTTCCTTCTCTTTCTGCCCCTCCCCTGCTCACACTCTGTATCTCTCCCTCTCAAAAATAAACATTAAAAAAAAATTTAAATGACAATAGTTGTACTATTTTTTATGATTCTGTGGATTGATTGGGTGGCTCCTCTGCTGGTCTCACCCGGGTTCGCTCGTGAAGCTGCATTCAGTAAGTTGGTTGGGCTGGAAAACACAAGTTGGCCTTATTCCTATGTATGGTGGTTGGTGTTGGCTTTCAGCTGGGGTGCCTCAGTTCTCTCCACTGTTCCCTCACCCTCCAATAGGCTCGACTAGCTTCCTTGAGGGGTGATCTCAGGGCAATGTCCCCAAAGGCTAAAGGCCTTCATTTCTTTATCTGTAAAATGTGGCTTTGTGTGTAAGAAATGAAGATGTGTAAAGTCCATACTTAGCACAATGTTTGGCACAAAGCAAGTGTTCAATAGAAAGTTCAAAAGTGTTCAATAGATATTTTTCTGGGAAAATATCACATTTCCAATAACTTCACCACTGGAAATGGGAACTGAACAATCTGAGCCCACGCTCCTTACAGAAATATCTTAGAGGGCTGCTGTGAAGGTACGGTAAATTCAAACAGATAAAGTATCTAGAAGATGCCTGACACATCACACATGCTCACTAGTGTTTTGTGTGTGTCCCTACTTTCAGGTGAAGGCACCAAGCACAGCCAGGCTCTGACAGGGTCATTGTGATGAATGTCATCACTGTCAGGTATGGGGGAGTTGGCTCCATACAGTAGGGACAGGGCTAAAAGTCACCATGTCTGCTGTCTAGGATCTGGGCAGCCAGCTCACAGGTGTGCCTATCTCTACAGCTAGAATTCTCATCCTGGGTTATATGTGCGATCCTCAAAGGGCCAAGAACCACCTGATACTGCATGGACCACACTGGGTGTGCATGCATTATTCTGGAGTGGAAGTCCACAGTTTTGCTTAGATTCTCAAAGAGGTCACTAGCCCCCACATACTGAACATCTTAGCTCTAGAGGCGCTCCCGTCCTTCTAATGTGGTCTGGTTTGAGAAATAAAGTTATTTGTCATGTTAGGATTGTGGTTACATCAAGAGGCAGCAGGGCCTGAAAAAGCCAGCCGGGCTTCTCTGCTGGAGGTGGGGTGAGCTTCATCATGAATGACACCGTAGACCTCATTTTTGCTGCCCAGTGGTCTGGTCCCACCTCCTGGCTGCCCTTCAGCTGTTTGCAGAATGCAGGTGACTAGGTAAGCAGCCGCCAGTGAAGTGAGCTGCTCTGCACCCCGTCTGCGTTACGGACATTGCCAGGGTTGGCAGGTGGTCCTCGTGTCCTGAGCCCTGTGTGAATGTTCCAGCCCACCCCCTGGGTTCCAGTGCATCAAGGAAATCCCTCATGGCATACCCAGGAGCAGACAGAGAAGGGGCAGCCTTATCTAGCAACCTGCAGTGACATCTGCTCACGGAGGTCACCTGCTGTTCCTGGACAGGTGCTTTCTTGTTCCAGGTCTTCTACAGTCACACTGATGCCCACTAGAGTCAACTTCTCAAGCTAGAGCTTCTCTGCACATGGTGTTGTATGGGTTTTAAGGGAAAAAAATAAATCCCAGCAAAACAGGAACATCTGAGCTAGTTCCTCCTCTCTCTGAAGTTTAATTCTAGACCATCTTCCTCCTCTGTGATTCAAAGGCAGAACAGAGTTTGCCCAAATTCTGAAATATTTGCTGTAGACCCATTCCCAGGGAAGGTTGTACAGCACCCTTGGAGAGGGGTCAGAGGGTGACCTGGAGCTTGACACAAAAACATCCTGGGACAATCGGTGGCGGGCAGAGATTTCTGGAGCCTGTCACGGCCCCCGTGAGGTCTTTGTAAACCCTCCACAGGGCACCACCTTTCCCTAAGTGGCAGGCTGTCCCCCACCCCTCACTTCACCCACCCTCATCACGGGTCAGTGCTGACCATCTAGTGAGGGCCTGGGGAGGTAGTCAGGCCCAGGGTAGCTGGGGCCAGGGTCCTCCAGTTAGCCGGCCTCTGCAGAGGGCCCCTTCCCCCTGCCTCTCACCACAGGGATTCGGTGACTCACTCTGAATAAGGCATCATAAATTTCCTCCTAATAACACACTTGTCACTGAACCATTCCAACAATTTGGCATGGCAAGAGATCTGGCTCCAGGCAGCAGGGCGGGTAAGTCATCTTCTGTTTATACAGTGTTCCCCGCCGAGGGCTGGACAGGCGCGAGGACCACCAAGCCTATGTCACACATTCCCTGTAGAGCTGGAATGAGTATGTCCACTGTATAGGCAAGGGACATAGTGACTCAGCCCCTCAGGCCCAGAGGGACAGACTTCCCCCTCACCCTCAGTGGGCAGCACTGCGGAGGGGCCGTGATGGTAGACACTTGGGTTTGAATCCTGCCTCTGCCACCGGTTCCTGAATCTCTCCAGCCTCCCCTTTGCTCATCTGTGATATGGGGACAATACAGAATTCGTGAGGCTTCTGTAAAGATGCAGTGAGGCACGTAAGGTAGAGAATATTCAGCGTAGTGCCAGCATGCAGTGAGTGTTCTTAAGTGCAGCTGTTGGTATTACGGACCCCAGTCAAGTGCCACATGCCTCCCTCTGGCTCATGACTTGGGCTGTCCTCTCCTTTGGCTCTCCGCCCTCTCGTGCTTTCTTGTGAGTAAAGACAGGTGGCCACTCCTACGTTATATTACTTAATACTCTACTAGTATTTGAGGCAGGTGGGATTATCCACATCGACAGGGGTAGAAACTGAGGCTGGGTGAGTTTGGGTGACTTCTCCAAGGCCACCACTAGGGGCGTGACAGAGCCAGGATTTGAGTTCACTCTTCCAGCAGAGTAGCTGGGGGGGTGGGGGGGTGGCACTCAAGGACCAGCTGCACATGGGAAGTTCCCAACATGGCCGAAGTATTTTCGTCCCCGCACTCTTCCCAGGAAGTTCACTCTCTGGACTCTGGGCAGTTGCCAAGGAGGTGTGAACGAGAAGGCAGAAAGAGGACGCCCTTTGGAGGGTGCAGTGAGGCAACAGGGCTGTCATTTACTGAGCCCTTCTATGTGCCCTCCATGCTGTCAGCTGTACGTGTCCGTCAATTTACATACACTCCCGTGAAGCAGGCCTAGTGCAGTTCCTCCTGTATGGGGGAAACTGAGGCACAGAGTGGTCAGGTCACTTGCCCCAACCTGGACTGGGCATCCACCTGTGTTGGTAATCTCTTCACCTGCTGCCTCCCATCAGGGTGGCATAAAGTTCGGCCAATGGTCCTCAGTTTTAGAAACCATGTCCAGGGGGAAGGACCACCATCCACAACCATGGGCAAGAAGGGGCAGGCCGACCTCTCACTAGGCATCCTCAAGTTTCTGTGTGCTGGGGGAGAAGGGTGACCAGTGAGGGGCATCCCGCTGCTTCCACACATGGGGGGGGGTATCAGCTCACACAGCAGCCTCCACAGGACCCTCCACCTCAAAGCTACCTCTGCAAGTCTGCAGGGAAACAGACTGCATTAAGCAGGAGGGCAGGTCCCAGGGAACACAGGGTCCTTGGCCTGTCTCCTGACTAACCTTGTCCCAGCCCACCTCCCCGAGGGCCGGGGCTCCATCCCACCCTGCCCTGCACCTCCATCACTCATCACCGGGCCTGGCCTCCCGCAGGCATTTGTTGACTGGCTGGTGGATGAATCGCTGGCTGACAAAAATCACTGGCAGCCCCAGTGATAAACAGAACCAGCGTGGCAGGAATTTGCTGGGTTCAGACGGCTCCCCAGATAGCTGTGGTGTGGACAGCCAAGGCGGGCGGCTCAGGCAGGCTGCACAGAAGGAACCACAGACTCCCAGGGCACTGGTTCCAGAGGGTTGAAGGCTGCCACCAACCACACAGAGCACCAGGCTGGCCAGCAGTGTCCTGGGCCTGTGACGTACGCTATCAGGGCTGCTCCAGGTGTCTGCTCTCAGCACTGCCGGCCCTGCCATCACTGACACACAGAGTCCTCCAGGAGTAGGGGCTGGGCGGCCACGGAAATCATCTGGACTGGCAGTTATTAGATCTCAGTTGGAACGACCCCTCTCTGCTCACTGTCCACCCCCCCCCCCACCGCATCCTAACCCCCCTAGGCAGGTGACCCTGGGACTGTCTCTCCATCTGTGGCTTTTTCCTTCACACCTCATCATCTAGCAAATGGAGGTGTGTCTACCTCACAGAACACACTGTGGATGGAAGAGCCCAGAACTTGAGTAGTCCTTTCCCCATCCACCCTCATTGTAGCCCGAAGACCCAAACTCTGCGGAGAAGCCACATCCCTCAGGCGTCTCCTCCAGCAAGGACTTTCCACTTGCCCAGCTCAGAGCCTAGGGCTTCTCCCTCCAAATTCCTCACCTCCTCCCTGCCTAACCTCTGGCCCAGCAGTGGGCTTCCCTGCCCGAGCAGTCCCTGACACAGAAAAGGAAATAATTAGCATAATCACTAATTCAATTCTCTCCACTCTCTTCTCTGTGAAAATAATTTGCTCCTCTAACAGCCACCGGGCCAGGGAGCCGATGAGGCTCAGGGAATTGTGGAGTCTCAAGCTAATTAAGTGGAAGCATTGCTCTCTCTCTAGGGAAGCAGGCTCTGGGCTCCTGCGGCTCTGAACGTATCACATTAAACACAAAAGCAGCCTCTGGAAAATGTGAAGAAGGCATGGACGGATATGAATGACAAAGATGATCCATTAGAGGGTTGGAAAACGAGGCTGGATGTGAGATTAGAGGTTAAGACAATTGAAGGATTTAGCCCAAAGGGGAAAGAAATGAGAGGAAGGCAGTTTAACCACCCCTCCCTGGGTTGTAGAAAGAATCTTCTCCCTTGGTTCTTTCCCTCCTCCAGCCTGTGTTCTCTGGTCCTCACTTCCTTTATCACATCCATCTTTGAGCTCTATTTACTTGTCAACTCACTTTGACCTTTACTGTGCCCCAACTCTGTGCCAGACAGCTTGTCGGGATCTGGAGATGCAAAGACATCTGTGCTTTGCAGGTCGGGTGGGAGAAATGGATCCAGAGTACCCATGCTATGGGACCCCAACCACCCATACTCCAGGACGGGGGGGACTACATGGCTGTGGGGCCTGCCTAAGGCCCAGAGGTAGGAAGGACCAAGGGCAGGTGCTATGGGAGCTCAGGGGCAAAGCGGGCCACTCAGCCCTGTCCTGGCTTCAGGGATGGCTTCCTGCAGGAGAAGATGCCCAAGTAGAATCTTGAAGAATGGATCTGCCAACCAGGTGAGGCAAGGGGGGAAGGGCACTGTGGGCAGCAGGTGGGCAAAGGCCCAGGACATAAAATGTGTAAACAGGCAATGACAAAACGGTTGGGCTTTACCGAAGCAAAAAGGAGAGACTGATAATGGTCTGATCTGTGGCCAGAGCGTCAGGCAGGGCCCACATCCCAAGGCCCTGAACCCTGTGGGAACGTGGCTTTATCCAGACGCAGCACTACCCAGAGTGTTCAGAATGGCACCGGGTATGTGCTGTATTGATGGACATCCCCCCACCCTAAATAAAAGGTGCTTCTTGGTCAAATAAGTTGAACGATGCTGAATTAAACCACTGGCTTTCAACTGAAGGGCCATTTGCAAAAGGGGCCATTTGGCAATGGGTACAGATGGTTTTGGTTGTCTTAATTCAGGGTGGGGGCATGACTGGCATCGTGTGGGTAGAAGCCGGGGATGCCACTCATCATCCTTCAGTGCATGGGACAGCCCCCTACAAAAACCTCTGCTCCCCCCACCCCCTACCCCAGAGCTTCCACAGCCCACACGCAGGCCCCGCCGGGCCACCATCTCTGCGCTGCCTGGTGGCTAGCTCTCTCCCCACAGCGCTGTACAGGTCTGAATGGCTACATAGCATAGGTATTTGGGGGAGGGAGGAGGGAAACATCAGGGAGAAGAGGATGTTTTAGGGTTGGGTGGAGAGGGTTGCTCTGGGTGGAGCTGGGCTCATGGGGGGCACCCTTGGTGGCAGGATTGGTGGGTGATTCTAGGTGGGTGATTCAGCTCTAACTGACTGCTGCTGGGGGTCTGGGGATGAGGCACAGCCCTGAGGAGCTGGCCAGATCAGAGTCAGGGATGCACTCCATGCTGGGCACTAGGGGGGGCGCTCGGATGAGCACCCCTATGGCCGGCTTCTCCTTCCCTGTTTTACTCTTTTCCCTAGCACCTTTTGGCCTGTCTATCAGTTTATTTTCTTGTCTCTTCTCCTCACTCCCTTCCCCACCTCAGAATGCTGGCTCCATAAAACAGGGCGTTTTGTCTTTATTGTTCACTGCTTTATTCCGGGTATCTACAACAGTGCCTGGCACATAGTATGTGCTCAATTAAAATGTGTGGAAGCAATGAATGTCTGAATGCCCACCCCCCCCGCAGCTATACAGCCCAGAGTGCCTGAGTGCTGATGCCAGTCTCCCACACGTGATTCCTCTTCTTCTGTACCAGCAGGAATGGGGAAGCCCCAGGAAGCCTACTTCCTACACTGTGAAGAATCTGCTCATTGTCTACGATGTTAATTCCAAAACTGTTTTGGAGGAAGGCACAGGAGCTTCACATGCACACCCTAGATATTCCCTGAAAAATCTGGAATGATGAACTAACATCCAGCTGAGGGAGGACAGAGCAGGCCAGGATGATGCAAAAGGCCAAGCAAGCTGGCAGCCAAATGAAGTTAGAGCCAGTTGACAAGACAGTGGCATGAACAAAGGCCTCACTGCCTCCTGGAACCGTTGCCAAGCATTGTGACACAGGCTAACCACATCTGAAGCACAGGGTGCAGGAGTGGCCTCGGGCCAGCAAGGCTCCAGTCCCTGCTGCCTAGCCTGAAGAAGCCCATACATCACAGTCTGGGGCCAACAGGGTGCACCCCAGTTACACACAGGGAGCAAGGGCCAAAGCGGGGGGGTGGGGCAAGTGCCTACTGGTCCCTTTGGAAACAAATGCAAGAAAATAAAAAGCCATGGGTGGAAGGAGACGTCCGAGTCTAGCCAGGGTTGCCGGGGAGTTCTGTGCCCCTGGGAGGCTGCTTACCTCCCAGGCTGCAGCCCACGGGGCTTTGGTTAAGCTCCGGCTCGTGGCCACATCTATGGGCAAAGACTTTAGAAACCTGGCTCAGATCCCAGCTAACTCTCCATGCTGGGGCTCCAGGCTGCAGGGGCCAGGGGCCTGGCGCTGCTGTTTTGACCTCTGGAGCCCCAGGTAAGTCATGCATAATAAGTGTCTATGCATGAAGAGAGGGTTTATCTGCTCTGCTAACCTAACAGGATGGTCGGGGAAAATTAAAAACATGGGGCCAAAGGAAAGGCCTAGGGAACTGTAAAGCCCAGAGTGTGGAAAGGCGTGCGGGGATGCAGCCATGTTCCCCTCCTGCCCCAGGGACGGGAATGTGCCTAGGAGACAACAGCCAACCGTGTGAGGGTGGCCTTTAGTTACCCACGGAAACCAACTGGCTTTTGTGGCATGCCCTTCATCTGCAGGAGATGCCTTTCAGATTCTGGGGTGGTTCTCAGAATGGCATTTAAGTCTCCTTGATGGACAACCTTGTGGTGGCCCACAGGCTCACAGTTTGGGTTATTCTGAATGATTACTTTAGGCAGGTAAATTTATAATCAGCTCATGATCACATGGTATTTTCCATTTTGTAAAGCTCATACAAATTTAATCTTAAACTAATGCCAAAAGATTGGCAGTATTAGGCTTATTTTACAAAGCATAATTTTAAAGGATCAGAGAGGTTGGGTGAATTTCCTAAGTCCACATAGCCAGTTTGTATCAGAGACAGGCTTTGAGTCCGGGTTTCTGACTGCACGTTAGACTGGTGCCTGCTGTACAGACACAACTGTCTTTCCTTCCAGAGGATCCTCTTCTTTTTTTTTTTTTTTTTTTAGGATCTGTCATTTGGGGCCCACTTTTGTCGTTAGCAGTGCTTAACCACTTTCCCTGACAAATCGAAGCAGAACACTCTTTCTGAAGGGGACGGCCTGTAACACAGAATTCTTCCTGGGAAAAGCTGAGCCTGGGCAACTTTCTCAGCAGGTGCTATTGCCCGGGGTATTGAGCGCGCCAGGGCACCTTACCTCACACGCACCGCACTGCCCTGAGGACTGCAGACACGGCTCTTCCAATACCTACGGTCGCTGAGAAGGCGGTCATAGGAGATCTCAGGCGCGGCATGATGGAAGCTCTTTCTCCTTAAGGTTACTACAGAGCATCTACTCCCCTGTGGAGAGCTCATGTCTGGATTTTGAACACTGAGAACAAAACAGATGGAAGAAACTCTAGTTTGTGATAAAAACTAAAGCGCTGTCTGCTTTTCAAATGACATTTCACATATTACTAACCATGCTCACATTGTTACCACATGTAATCCTTACAACAGCCTTGTGAGAATCGTTATAACCCTTTGAGGTATTAGAATTCCCATTTTAAAGACTGAGGACACTGAGGCTTGAAAGGGCATCGATTACTTGTCCAAAGTCACAAGACTGATACATGGTAGAGACAGACCAAAGACCCGGTTCTTCTATCCACAAGTTCAGGGCTTTACATGGATGGCAACATTTTTTTACTTTCCATAAGTGAGAAGTTCATTAACAGTAAATTCAAAGGTTGATTAGAGCTAGGCACTTCTAATGGGGATCCTTTCAAATTCCTTGTAATATTATTACTTATCTCTTCTCCAAGAATCATAAAATCAGGGGCTATGTGGTATCTAATCAATGCTCGTCACAGACCCATGGCCCAACTTCTTAGCAGGTGTTGTATGAGGACAGAAGGCATGTATTATGAGACTCATCAGGGGCTCCTGGGTTGTTCAGCTGGTTGAGCGTCCGACTTTGGCTCAGGTCATGATCTCATGGTCTGTGGGTTCAAGCCCTGTATTGGGCTCTATGCTGACAGCTCGGAGCCTGGAGTCTGCTTCTGATTTTGTGTCTCCCTCTCTCTCTGCCCCTCCCCTGCTTGTGCTCTATATCTCTCTGCCTCTCAAAAATAAACAAACATTTTTAAAAAAGAGAGAGAGAGAGAGAGACTCATCAGTCATTGCTTGAGGTTCCGTGCATGGGTGCTGACTGGGACTCTGCCTTTAGAGATTCCAGCCTGGCTAGAATATTGTTGTCGCTTCAACAAGCATTCACAGAGCAGCCTGGATGCCCACAAAACTGAGAATAAGTGTGTACCACAGGCTTTGTCTTTGAGGAGTTTACAAGTTGGTAGAAGGTGAAATTTGTTATGAAATATTGAATGGCGACGTACAGGCCAGAGTGGAATTAAGTGTGCATCTGTTCGCTACAAAGTCCGAGGCTTCATGGAGGAGGCAGGTCTTGGGTGGGTCTGAAGAAGTGGTAGGATGTGGAGGGGGAAGAGGAGGAAGGTTTTCCATGCCAGTGGAGGATACAGTGCCAACAGCAGGTGGGGCATGAGGCTGCGTGGCTCCAGCGCTCCGGCCCCTGTGCTCATGTTACCTAAGTCCCGGCAGAGCCAGGTTTTAAGTCTCTGAGCCTTTGTACCCGCCATTTCCTCTTCTGAAAAGAACCTCTCTCCCTTGCTTTCTGGTTCCCCTGTCTCTCACACCCCATCTACCTGCTAACACTGGTCAATGGAATCTCCCTTCTGTCATGAGACCACCTCCGGCCCCCTGCAATGCTTTGCCTTCCTTTTCGTGACACTGACCATGTGGCATGATGATGTGTTCATAGGTCCGTGATGCTTGAGAACAGGGATTCCCTTCTGTTAATTTTTGCATGGCCATTTGTTGAATAAATACAAATGAAAGATGGGAATGCAGATCGAATGAATGAATCTGCAAGAAGAATCCTGCTACGGAACCGTAGGGGCTGACACCTAGAACCAGTGGGGCCCTGGACTATTGCATGTATGATGTCTAATAAATCTGAATTAATGATTCCTTGATAAATGAATGGTTGCTAGATTGACTGAGTTATAGATATATCATGATGAAAATCCACCAGCTAACCTGGTTGATGTTTTTGTTTTGACCTTATTTCCTTAAAGTTGATGAGTCTAAGACTGAAGGATTTGTAGGCTTAAATGCAGGGAAGGGTCAAAGCAGGCAGACCAAGCAATGGCCAGAGGGAAGGGAGACTGAGGGCCAAGCTGAGGGCTTAGCAACAGCCAGTGGGTGATGGGCAGAGTCTGGAACGGTGAGAGAGGGGCTGTAGAAGTGAGCAGGAGGCAGACTGTGAAGGGAATTTAACTCATTCCTGAGGACAACAGGATGCAATTAGACCTTTAAGCAGGGTGTGTTAAAGGACTATTCTTTTCTTTTTATTTTAAAGTTTATTTTTGAGAGAGAGAATGAACGAACAAGCAGGGGAGGGGCAGAGAGAGAAGGAGACTCAGAATCCGAAGCAGGCTCCAGGCTCTGAGCTCTCAGCACAGAGACTGATGTGGGGCCTGAACCCATGAAATGCAAGGCCATGATGAAGCCGAAGTCAGACACTCAAACAACTGAGACACCCAGGTACCCCCTATTTTTTCTTTTTTTTTTTTTTTTTAAATGTTTTAGTTATTTCTAGGAGAGAGAGAGACAGCGTGAGCAGGGGAGGGTCAGAAAGAGAGGGAGTCACAGACTGAAACAGGCTCCAGGCTCTGAACTGGCAGTCAGCACAGAGCCCGACGCGGGGCTTGAACCCACGAACCGCGAGATCATGACCTAAGCGAAAGTCAGATGCTTAACCACTTAACCGACTAAGCCACCCAGGCGCCCCGCCCCTATTTTTTCTTTTAAAGAAAGAGAACCCTGACGAAAATGGAGAGACTGCGTCAAGGCAGAGCAAGACTTAGGATGCAGAAGACTGGTGTTCAGGATGCTACAGAGACTTGAGTGTGAGCTGGGGAGGCTGCACTGGGGGCACGGGGGGGGGGGGGGGGGGGGGGGGGACGTGGCTGTGGGGATGGAGAAGAGCAGACGGGTTTGTGAGTGGGGCAAGGGGTGCTGGTGATGCAGGTCCAGGAAGAGGAGCTGAGGATGAGAAGGCTAAGGAATCTGTCTCAGGCCCAGCTGAGATGGGGGACTCTGGAGGAAGAGGTACAGTTGGGGTGGGAGGGAGGAAAGAATGAGTTATTTCCAGAATTTGTCCAGACAGAGGCTTTGCTCTGAGTCTGCATTGTATGATATAGAGATTTAGCCATATATAGATATGGATATATTATGCTTTCTCAATTAACATAATACTTTCCTACATTATTACAGATGCTTCATAAACATTATTTTTAATAAGGAGCAAACTGTGAATAAATAAGCAAACTGTCAGAGAAAGTGAATCATTGAAGAGGGTTTCCCCTGCTATACAGATGGAAGAACCTGCCAGTCGACCCAATCAACAGATCTTCCAGAATGTTCTCCCTATGGTGAGTGATAAAAAGAACACAAAGAGGACCCTGGGAGACTCTACACCAGCCACAGCCAGGTCTCTGTCACAGGCACCTTCGCCTGCAAAAGGTACAAGGGACCCAGAGAGCAGTCTTGAGCTCAGCGGATGGGGGTGAGGTGGGCTGGGAAAATCCGGGACTATGAGGGTCTGAGGAAAACATCTTCAGCAAGCTCAGAAGAGAAAATGAGACTGTGTCTTTGAGGGCATTTTGTAATCACAGAAGCTGAATACAAATTTAGGGGGCTATCATTATTACCCACATTCAAAACCATGAATTCAAACCAGATAGAAGCTTTCCTAATATTCATCAATAGAGCAAAAGGGTACAAAGGAGACTTTTTTGCTATACTTCCCTTTGTATCTTTTGACTCATTCAACAGTAATTTAAAAAATTATATCTATGCAAACCAATTCTCTCTTGTTTATTAACAGTAGTGATAGAGAAACAAGTCAGGTCACCATGAGTTTTTGACTTGTCCAAAAAGAAGTCATATAAAAAAAGATAATGGCTGGAGCTCACAGTGGCTTTATTCATTTGAAAAGCATAATGCTCCTTCCTAGAATAACATTAAATAATCACATATTGAGTTAAGAGAAAATAAGCCACAATAACTTTAGGGGGAAAGAGCATAGCATTAATGTATAGGACTTAAATTCCAGTTGGGCTAACCTTCTTGGAGCCTCAGTTTATTCACCTGTAGAATGGGTGTAACAAAACCTACCGTGAAGAATCATTATATGACCCAACTTGGATAACTTCTGTGAAGGCACCTGGAACAAATGACCTGCAACTCTATCCACGTCTGTTCATTGGATCTTAGAAATAACAACTTTCCAGATTATTTTTTATTACATAGTAAGTTGTTTCTGGAAATAAGCAGTGTAGGGCTAGGATGGGGCGATCAATCCTAGGCGAGGGTTCAGGTTTGCCCATGACTATTCCTGTTTTAGTAACAAAATCCTGCATCTCAGAAAATCCCCCCATCCTGAGCAAACCAAGAGGTTGGCCAACCTAGCAATCATGATCATCAATGAAACCACCAAGAACCAAGTTACAGGGGCACCTGGGTGGCTCAGTCAGTTAAGCGTCTGACTTCAGCTCAGGTCACAATCTCACAGTTCAGGAGTTTGAGCCTCACAGAGCCTGGGGGCTGCTTTAGAGTTCTGTGTTTCCCTCTGTCTCTGCCCTTCTCTTTCTCACACTCTGTCCCTCTCTCAAAAATAAATAAACTGTAAAAATTAAAAAAAAAAACAACCCAAGTTACATTCTTTTTTTTTTTTTTTTAAACTTCGTCATTCTGACTGTTGCTTATTGCCTCATGGTTGCAAGATGGCTATTGCACTTCTAGTCATCATGTCTGCATTCCAGGTAAGAAGTAAGGGAATTGGCAAAAGGATCAAAGGCTTCCTCTTAGAGAGGTCTGCCTCTTATTCTGGAAAGAAAGCTTTCCTTGAACTTGCACTTATAGTTCATCGGCGAGAACTGTTTCACAAGGCCACCTCCAGCTGTAAGAGTAGCTGGGAAAACTGAGTACAGTTGACCTTTGAACACTGTGGGGATCAGGGGCACTAACTCCCTGTGCAGTGGAAAATCCATGTATAACTTTTGACACCCTAAAAACTTAACTACTAATAGCCTATTATTGACTAGAAGGCTTACCATTAACATAAACAATTTATTTTGAGAAAGAGAAAGAGATAGTGTGAGTGCAGGAGGGGCAGACAGGGAGAGAGAATCCCAAGTAGGCTCCTTACTACCAGTGCAGAGCCTGATGCGGGGCTCGAACTCATGAAACTGAGAGATCATGACCTGAGCTGAAATCAGAAATCAGATGCTTAACTGACTGAGCCAACCC